ATTATTTACAATTTTATGACCAAATAATGACAAGAATTTTGACCACAAAATGAATTTTGAGCTCAAATTCAGTGTAATAATTAACACTTTGATATTCAGTGCACTTTTGTGTGGCGGAGGTATGTATGGTATATGAATGCAAACTAACTAAACAATTGTTGTATTGATTGTCTGTTATTGTCTGCAAACCACTGACCAGTGTATGGTCTGGAGTGCTATGTCTGCAGGAATCAGGAGAACAATAGAGACAAATGCATAGAAACCGTCAAAACGTGTGATTTGGCCGAAGACCGGTGTCTGTCGGAAGTCCGTTGGGGCAGTCAGTAGTCATCCCTTTCCTCCACCCATTCAACACTGTATTCAATTGTATTCCCATTTCATAGGCACCCCCTATTGGGCGCCCACCGGAGAGAAACAGTTTTATATATCCAAACGATGCGCTTCTAAAGTATGATTAGTTTATAAACTTTTTCATTCACTTCACAAACTTGTGGTTAATTAACGAAATGATGTGTTTTTTCAGAGGATATGCGACCAATCGTTCAGAAATGTGAGCAAAAGGTGTGACAGAATCTGGTATAACGACTGGGAGTGTGTCGAGTGCTGTAATGGTGATCGTTGTAACTATTATATCACTGTTAGTATCAATCAATTGACTATTCAATCACTAAATCACTTAAATTCTTCTCGTTATTTAACCCACAGTTAGCGTCAAATCACTTAATACCCGGATATATAACGATATGCTTATCACTAGTTTTGGCGTTTTTATTGATTCATTAAAGCATTCATTATAACTAAATCACAATATTAGACACAATCGGTTGAATCTCAAACACCATGAATGACCACAACTTTATATTTTATACTAATATTTTATTTATAATAATTTGTAAATACATTTGTAAACCATAAGATATCGACTTTTTATACACACAATGTTTTTGTACAAATAATTAAACAAAATAACACTAACTATTGTTAGACAAACTCGAAATGTCTGTCAGATTCACTAAATGTCTAATCGTTGGCCTGTTATGAGCGCAATGCCACGGATTCTCGAGACCACTCATATGATCCACAATTGTTTTCATCTGAGACGCGATCAATGGTTCGCCAATCATAACACTGGAACGACAGGCCCGGGAGGCAATCACTTTCTTAAAGCCATTCAGCTTATAGTCATTCAACAACTCTATCGGCGTCTCTATAATGACGCCAACGATCTCTTCGATGTCCTCTTTGCCGGCCGTCCAGTCCTTACTGATCGGCAAACTCGACAAATGGAGTCTATGACCGGCCGGCGCCGTGTCGTTCAGCACTATACCGAACCCTAACTTCTTAAACAAATACATGTTATCAATGATCACCTGTTCGTTGGCGGCGCTCAGCTCCAGAGGCAACGGGACCACTAAGTTCTGGATCTCGACCGCAGTGGTGGACAGCAGGCGCTCGTTTAACTTCGCGAGCAGCCTGCGCACGACCAGGTGGTGTTTGTCCAGCCGGGGGTCAAACCAGTGTTACTTCGGTGCTAACTTAACTGGCTAACAGAGGTAAAGAGACTTGCTACAGAAGACGTTGAGATGGATCAGTTCCCGTTCCGCCATCTCGTTCTGCGACGACTCTATTTGTGCACTAAATTTGGCTGCACTTTGAGATTCGGATCTCGAAATGGTTTTCAAGAACTGTTCTCTAATGTCGCCGACCTCTATGTCTATCATCTGATCGCCAATTGTCTCATTCTTTGCCGAAATAACGTGTTTTTGGTCGTCATTATTGTCGTCTTCATTGTCTGACTCAATGATTATCGAGCACTCAGTCAAAGATCTCTTCGCCAGTGAGTGCGAGGATGTCTGAACACCACTTCCTTCGCCCACATCCGAACTCCTCTGCAAACTATTGTCACTAATTATTCTCTCATTTGGTGTCACATTCATCGGGACGTCTCTAATAATAACCGGAATCTCTTTTGAACTCAAATCAAAGTCTTGTTGTCTTTGTCGGCGACAATCAGTTTCACTCTCGAGATCCTCGCGACTTATGGACTGAATGTCAAACTGTGGCCTTTCAACAGTCGGTCCTCGCATTACATCCTAATTGAAGCGCTCGTCGGACGCGTGCTGGTCCACCACAAACAGGTCGGCCCCCAGTTTGGTCACAATGAAGCCACGATTGAATTGACCGATTGTCTCCATTTCTCTGAACGATGTCTTCTGCAACTCGTGGATCAGTTCCCGTTCCGCCATCTCGTTCTCCGACGACTTTATTTGTGCACTAAATTTGGGTTCACTTTGAGATTCGGATCTCGAAATGGTTTTCAAGAACTGTTCTCTAATGTCGTCGACGTCTATGTCTGTCATCTGATCGCCAATTGTCTCATTCTTTGCCGAAATAACGTGTTTTTGGTCGTCATTATTGTCGCCTTCATTGTCTGACTCAATGATTATCGAGCACTCAGTCAAAGATCTCTTCGCCAGTGAGTGCGGGGATGTCTGAACACCACTTCCTTCGCCCACATCCGAACTCCTCTGCAAACTATTGTCACTAATTATTCTCTCATTTGGTGTCACATTCATCGGGACGTCTCTAATAATAACCGGAATCTGTTTTGAACTCAAATCAAAGTCTTGTTGTCTTTGTCGGCGACAATCAGTTTCACTCTCGAGATCCTCGCGACTTATGGACTGAATGTCAAACTGTGGCCTTTCAACAGTCGGTCCTCGCATTACATCCTTGTCGACACAATTGGCGTCGATATCGATGTTAATCAACACAAACGGGTATTGGTTTCGATTGAACGAGCGGTAGATATCATTGACAAACTTCTGGACATTCTTCACATCACACGGCCTATGGTTCACGTAAAAGAACTGTCGGTCGGAAGCGCTTCGACCGCAACCCAAATCGCATTTCGATATAAATCCAGTGATTCTCACCGTTGGCTCCACTCCCGGATCAGTAGCCGCCGTCAGTTCGGCCAACGCTTGCAGTTGTTTGGCGTCAAACACTTCTTGGATGTTGTTTCTGACGGACATCCCGGGGCTCGAGAGCACCGTTTGTTTCGGTTTATTCAGCTTTTCATTGGATAAAGTGATCCGAAGACCGACGCAACCGATGCAATAGCCGTACACCAGACGAACCATTTGGTCGAACTGGCGGTTGATATTACGGCAGAACTCCTTCCGTCGCACCGGTATTTTGTGGAACAGGTTCTCGACGGACACCGTTGTGCCCACCGTTCGCGCCATCGGCTCTTTGGCGGCGATGTTCGCCTCGGAGTCCATCTTAAGAGTGTAACCGATGGCAGCGCTCAGATGTCTGGTCCTAATGGCCACGTCTGCCAACAGACACAACGAGTTCAGGGCTTCGCCGCGGAATCCAAACGACTCGATGGCCGACAAGTCCTCCAAAGACATCAACTTCGAGGTGCAGTGCCTTTTGCAGAGACTCGCGAAGTCGGTCTCCGAGATGCCGAACCCATTGTCCGTCACTTCTATCAAGTCTTTGCCGAACTCTTTCATACGGATCGAGATTACGGTCGCCTTCGAGTCGATGGCGTTCTCCAGAAGCTCTTTGACCACCGATGACAGCGTTGTGATCACCTGAGCCGATGACAAGCGTTTGGCCGTCTGCTGGTCGATGGCACGGATCCGACGCTCTTCGGGCCGATGATCGGTCTCTGACATGACTTACAGATGAATATGCGATGACTTCTTGAGCTATGGATTCAATGGATTTGTGTTTTGTTTTCACTTTTCATTCAAATGTTTAGCGCTTTCTATGTCTTGTGTTTGGGTTTGCATTCATTGCATACATAACGCCATCCATTGGACACTCAATTAGATATGATTCGGTAAACGGATTGTTTGAAAAGTCCTAACTTTAAGACAAAGTTTTAAAAACATTTGTTTTGTAAAAATATTTTATTAGTTAAATTAGATACAGATTTGTTTTGATACAATTTAGATAAGTTTGATAGATAAGAAAAAACATTTAAATTTATAGTATATTTGAATAATTCACTCACAAACTAATATTAGAAAAATGAATAGTTTAATAAAACATATACCGGTAAGTCTTAAACACTATAACTTGTATTATAAATTTCTGAGTAACACAATAAGAAATACTTTTTAAAATAAGTAATATTTATATTACTAATCGTATATAAACAAAGTTGTCACATTCTTTAGAGTATTACTAAAATACTGTAAAAATTATAGATATTTTCGGGTGTATGAGAGAGAGAGAGAGAGAGAGAGAGAGAGAGAGTTAAAATTAAACAGGAAGTGGACTATAATTTGTTGATGGTTTTGGTTTCTTTTTATCCAAACTGATGGTCATTCCGTTGACTTTGACGTTCTTGAGACGACTCTTACATAACTTATACGTTAAAACTAGTGATGCAAAAGCGGTGCATAGGATTGCAAATATTTTGGTGATTGTGACGAGTAATTTGAGCCAAAAANTGATGGTCATTCCGTTGACTTTGACGTTCTTGAGACGACTCTTACATAACTTATACGTTAAAACTAGTGATGCAAAAGCGGTGCATAGGATTGCAAATATTTTGGTGATTGTGACGAGTAATTTGAGCCAAAAACCTTCAATTACCGACTGTTTGGGCAGTTGGTCTATCACAGGGTGGAGTGTGGTTTGGTTGACAAGAGTTGCATCTGTAGTGGGTGAGAATACGAGTTGATTTGAGCTTGGTACAGGCAAGTCATAGATAGCCTGATGTATTGATCGGGACGGCATTGGAAAGACAAATGATTGGGTGCCCGAAATCAACAGCATTATAGTTGTCATATACAGTGAATACTATAAGTTGATAGAGTATACAATATATGTAAAATAAAGTATTGTTTGATTATAATTAGTGCATGATACATATACAATTATAGCTAACCTTGATTGTTGGTCCAATAAAATTATGTTTAGATATTTCATTGTTGACCATCAAAGACTTAGGAATAATGACCATGATGTCTTATAAATATACAACAAATAAGGACAAAGTAATATAAATTAAACAAAATTCTGTAATAATGCTAAGCAGTACAAATAAAATAATTGTTATACTACTACAATCAAAAGTGAATACTTTAAAATTAATATTTTATATATAAATTAGAAATATATATTAGAAATACTGCAGTACTGTATGACAAGTATCTATAATACGTACCAATTATGGGCAGTGATCACAAGACACTGCAATTTAATGATGATTTGTGACAAAAAGTGATCGATTCTTAAAGAGATGCCTATATTTTGGAGTCAAACACTCAAATAGACTTCAATACAAGGAATACGTTGTAATAAAATATAATTCATATGATTGGGTGCGAGTAATATGTCATCACGCGTTTCGTAAGATTTCGTATATGTGTGCAACAAATGGGCATAATTTTCTAATGAATTTTCTAATCTTGATTTAGGAGCACAAGTAGCTACGGAAGTAATTTAAAACACCCTCCCCTAAACACCTTGCACATATAATGAATCACAGATTAGCAGTTATTTATAAATTATTGTAATTTTATAAAATGTTGTATAATTAATTTGTTTTCATATTCATAACTAGAAATAAATGCCATTATTGATAGCATTTGATGTCTACTAGTATTAAATCTCAGGGATAGGGATGCGGAACAGATTCTCGCATTCAGGGCTGATATTTGAAGACAAATATATAGATACAATGGAAGCATATCTGGAAGGCCAGAATGAGACGTACCTCTGAAAAATTGCTTTTATTTCTTCTTGAAACATTGCTTTTGTGTAAAGTTTAAAATTTATAAGGTTTAATATAAGTAAATTTCAAACTTTACATAAAAGCAATGTTTCAAGAAGAAATAAAAGCAACTTTTCAGAGGTACGTCTCATTCTGGCCTTCCAGATATACTTTGTACAGTATAGTAATTATATTTTTAATTCTAGCAATTATTGATATTTTACAAAAAAAAATCATTATTTATTGAAATTTTAAAATAATTGCAATTATAAAAGTTAAAATGATTTTTTAAATAATGTTTAATAATGTTTTATTAAATGTTTAATTATTTAATAATGTTTAATTTATCTAATTAAAGTTTAAAATTTATAAGGTTTAATATAAGTAAATTTCAAACTTTACATAAAAGCAATGTTTCAAGAAGAAATAAAAGCAACTTTTCAGAGGTACGTCTCATTCTGGCCTTCCAGATATGTATGATAGAAGCATATGTATGTACCTGATCTTATTTGTCAATTTATACAATGAATAAACTTAGTTTTTAAAATGGATTTTGATTTTTTACTATAGAACTAGTACATCCACGCTGATTCAAGTCAGCCCAAGACTACCTGCCCCTTTAAGCTACCCATTCCCTAAACCTACCCGCCCAAAGACTATCTTCCCTTTTAATATGACTATATTAATGACTTTATTAATTTTAAAGTTTGTTTATTTTTTGTTTAATCAATTTCTATAAATCAATTAGTATTAAATTTCTATTATTTTAATACGTCATTAAATAGCGTATGTATTTTGAAATATTAGCTTCTCTCTATTTCTCTCCTATCTATATTTCTGTCACTCTTTGAAATTTTATAATATAGAGCTTTTGTATATTTTAGGGTATTTTGTTTAGAGATATATAAATATGACTTATTTTTCATTTATGTAACAAAATAAAATAATACATTTTATATAAACCATATGATAACATTTGTGGGCAGAGATAGCATTTAACGTTTTTATAAGTGACTAATTGTTTACATAAAAAACCAATTATTAGTTATTTATAACAATTGCTTAACACATGAAATGGTCGAGACGTTAATGAAAAATAGTCAAATACTTTGATTAACTGCAACTTTTTATATAATTTTTTGTACCAAATTTCATACATTGAGATAATGAGTCCAAAGAGGAGTAAATAACAAAATACTTTTTATTATTACATTTATCAAAAACTGATTAATTTGTCTTTAGATTAAAATGAATAATTTTCTCTTTATTTTTGTGTAAATTTCTTGATATTTTGTATTGTGTTATAGATTATTAGCATAATATAAATCATACTTACTTTATAAATTTCATGAACATTTCTTAATTATAGTTTTTGTATTATTTTATTGAAGTGATATAAATATGATGATTACTATTAATAGTTATGAATTAAAGTTGCCATCTCTTAAAATACTTCTTAATTTCATTTTAATCAACAAAAATAAGTTACAGATTATTAGATTTACAGTACTGTATATATCATACTGTATATTCATTGCATATTTATATATTACATTTCTAATCACAAACTAATCACACATTAATAGCAACATAATAATTATTATTTCACATAGGACCGGGATAAACACATTAGTTTCTTATTATTTGGCGTATTATCCATTTTATGATCAATTGCTTTATAAGTAAAAGATTTAAATTTTGGTAATTTATAGACAGATTCTATAACTTGCGGTTTGATCTTCAAATTGCTGATCAACTTAAACGTCTGAAGACTCGGGAAGTGATTATCAGTGGCGTCGACAAACGCCTCGTCCAACACAACGCCCACAAACCTTAACGACAATTGGGTTAAGCAT